TAACAAAGTACCACAGATTGGGTAGTGTATAAACAGAAGTTTTTTCTCACAGTTCTGGAGGCTGGGACGTCCAAGATCAAGGCGCCAGCATGGTTACATCCTGGTTAGGGCCCTCTTCCTGGTTCATCACGGTCACTCTCTTGCTATGTCCTCACATGGTGAAATGGGCAAGGGAGCTCTGTGGAATCTCTTTTATAAAAGCATTAATCCCATTCATGATTAGGTCCTCCCGAGGGTCCCAACTCCTAATACTGCACATTGGGCATTAGGGTTTCAACATATGAAATTTTAGGGGGCAGACACATTCAAACTGTTGCAAGAAGCTAACGCTGATTAAGCACTGACTCAATACAGGCACTGTGCAAACAACATTAACACACGGCACACGTCATGCTCAGTCTCTACCACACCCCCGAGAAGTAGGTATCAGTCATATCCACATTCTACAGGTAGGAATACTGAGGCTCCTGGCGGTTAATACCTCCCCAAGATCACACCACTGTGAGACAGCTAGAAGGCTGGCCTCTAAATCCTTGATGATGGATCTAAAGTTCTTAACTATTAAGGACAAAGAGAGATGGGGGCATGGGTCAGACCAATGTCACAAGGATTGGGGAATTAGTGAAAGCAGAGACACAAGGTATTTATTAGCTATGGTCAGGGGTGAGAGGCAGTGCTCTTTCTAGTAGTTGCTTTCCACTGGAAAGAATTGTCCTAGTGCGGTCTAAGGGAGACACAGAGGTCTAAGGCACTGATCTGCTCTTAAGAAGTATATATGCAATCCAGTTAGGGATACATGTGTCCAGTAAAGGAATCATCAACATAAGATGGTGTTGCAGGCTCAAATGGGCATCACTGAGCAGCAAGAAAGCCCCAGGCATTGGGAAGAGGGTTGAAGAAAGGGCACTGAGAACACGAATTCCCAAGAACCGACTTCCTTTTTTCCAGCTGATCCCTCACAGAAACCAAAATCTCACCCAGTCTGTCCGTCTGATGCCACGCCTGGCCACAGCAATCATGCCGGCTCAGCATTCCCACAGATGGATATCGTTTTCCAGAATGGAGTGTGGAAAACGATACTTTTTTCTTCTGCCATGATAACATCCCCACAATTAGGAGGGAAGAGAGCCAGAAACTGATATTCCACAAGGTCACGCTTCATTTTCCCTGGCTTGATGCAGCCCAGGGAGGAGGGCGTGGTTTCTAAGAACCCAGTGGGAACTCTGGGGGCTGAGTATCTGGTGAGGGTCTGTTCCCTCAGAGTTTGCTGCGTCTTTTGCAGCATCTCCTTAAGTGGAAGAACATAAAATTGTGCAGAGAAATGTTTTAACATGCAGCCAGTCAGTGAGGATTTGTCAGATCGACGAAGGCCAATTCTGAGTGTTCCCTGCTGGGTTTCCCAACACCCCGGGACGCTCAACTGAACTATCTATTAAGAATATTTTCCCAAGTCATTTGTGTTAGATTATAGGCTATAAACTCCTTATTGTTGCTCGTCTGCCGTAAATATAAAGCAATCATTTTTAATGCAAACAGCTGTTGGGCTGGCCTCTCCAAGATGCTTTGCCCAGGGACTCACGTTCTGCTGTTTTCTCCTTCACCGAGTGCATTTCTGATTGGTTTTTTGCTCTGCTGCACAACACACATGTGGTGGGGGGTGGGTGTATGAATTTTCCCTCCACAGCTTTGTTTAGACCCAGGGTTTCTAAAAATATCCAAAAGGAATTGAAGGTGCAGAGGAGCAATTTAAGTTGTATGAAAGCTGATGACTCAAGCCTGTATCACAGCCTCTAATTTCTTACAATGACCTTGGAAACATCAACCCATTTTTTTTTCTTAACCTGCAGCAGTAAGATTTGTGATTTTGGATTATATGTATTCCTTCAAAAATTCTTTATGGAGGGTCTGCCGTGGCTAGATGTTGAGGCTACAAAGGTAAGCCAAAATTGACACAGTGTCTGCTCCCTGCCTGTTTTTTATGCCCTCCAGCTTTACTGACGTATAGAAAACAAAATTGGAAGATATTTAAAATCGCCAATGTGATGATATGATATACATAAACATTGTGAAAGGACTTTTCCCATTGAGTTAATTAACACAGTCATCACCTCACTTATTTATCCCCCACCTTTCCTGGAGCCAGTGAGAACATTCAAGTTCTACTCTCTTAGTAAATTTCAATTATATGACACTGTGTTATCATCTACAGTCACCATGTTATACATTAGATCTTCAGATTCTTATCCATCTTATATGTAAAAGTTTGTACCCTTTTATCAACTCTGTTTCCTTCACTAGCGCCTGTGAACCACTTTGCTACTTTCTGTGTCTATGAGTTCAATCTTCTGCCTCTTAAAGTCTAGTAGGGGAGACAGATTGATCAAATTATTGCATAAACTGAAACAGGAGGTATGAAGGAAATTTAAGGACTAACATATTGTCTAATCTAGTGAATCATGCGATTTCCCTAAGAAAGCAGCATTTGAGCTGAGGGTAAAGTGGAGTTGACTCTGCAAAGGAAGAGGAGGAAGGAGGATGAGGTTTCCAGGAAGATATAAAGGCACATTCAAAGGCTAGGAGGTGTTAATGAGCATTACAAGAACAAGTTAAGGCCTGGGCACCAGATGCAGAGAGAGAGAGAGACAGAAACAGCATAATGGGGCTGAGAGGCGGGGAGGGGGATCCAAATCCAGCAGGGCTGTGGAGGCCATATAAGAGGAGCTTGGGCTCCATCCTGAGACCAACTGGAGGCATAGTCATTAAGACCTCAGGAGGAAACTGCTGGTTTCCTTGACCACAGTTAAATGAAATGTTGGGGATAATTTATAGAAGGAATTCTTTCAACGAGTGTGGGTGGGGTTAAGGGAACCAAGGAAGGATGTTGAGGTACCCAAGCAAAGTGACATCGAGAAGCCATGATCACTTCTAGGCCTGAAGAAGCAATGGGGAGGAAACTGAGAGCTGGAGCTGGGAAAGAGAGCCACCCTGCAGGAGCTATGGTCACGGAAAGTCACAAACAATGGAACTGTATTCCAGTGGGAATAAGTTCTTCAAACTCTCCTGCCTTTTTCCCTTCAGTCTCTTGCTGGATCCTTCATTGGCTGAACCCAAACAGAAGACAGAGGCCAAAGGAATCCCTTGAGATGAGCACCCCTATCCCCAGCCAGGCACAAAAAAGGGCATAGAAGGGAAAAATGGAGAAAAAATCAGCACTGAAGGCCTTTAGCCTGTGAGCGACATGATCAGATTCATGTTACAAAACAGATCATTCTGATTGCTCTGCAGAAGGCCAAGAGGGCAAAGACTGAGAAGAGGAGGACCTGTAAAGAGGCATCTGTGGTAATTAAAAGAGCAGTAATCACAGCGGCCTAAGCCAGAGTGTGACCCAGTGGACAAATCTAGAGATTTCTAACATGGTAGAGCTTGGCCAAGATTACAAGGAACCCCAGGGCATTTCAACCACACCCATCCAGATCTGTGAGATAACTGAGGCTCAGAAAGTAGAAGGACCCTGGGCCAGAGGCAGCAATTTCCCCCACCCTCTCCAGCATACTGCCTCTGTCAACGTGCTCTACCTGCATCAGACCCTGACCCTTCACTTTCATTCTCCAGGACAAATGCCTTCCTTCTTGAAGGCCCCTAACGGTCACTGCGGCAGCACCCACTCCCAGAACCTTGACTTTAACTTCCTGACTGTAATGTCTTGACTCCCTGTCCTTCTTGCTTGGGAAACCTGAACATTAGCAGCACTGTAGAGCTGTAGAGCTGAGCTCACCGTGATGGCTAGACCAGAATAAACAAGGGGTGCGGGAGAAACAAAGCATGGCCTCTTTTTGCCTTTATTTCGAACAGTGAACAATTATTGAATGCTTACCCTGTGCTGGGTAATATTTAAATCCCTCAATCAGGGGGGAGGGTATAGCTCAGTGGTAGAGTATGTGCCTAGCACGCATGAGGTCCTGGCTTCAATCCCCGGTACCTCCATTAAAATAAACAAATAAACATAATTAACTCTGCCCCAAAACAAAAAAAATTAAAAGTAAATAAATAAACATAATTCCCTTCCCTCAAAACAAAAAGTCACAAAAAATTTTTTTAATTAAAAAAAGTAAGTCCCATAACCATACATGGAGATAGATATTATCATTCTTTTATGAGCCAACTGAGGATCACACAGATTAAACAACTTGCCCAAGATCCACAGCTGGTCCAGGCTCAAACCCGGGTGCCCTGCCTCTAAGCGTCTATGGTCTTAGCCACTGCTCCACACTGCCTCTCACCTACTTGGCACAGAGCTATGCCAGGCTCCCTTGTTTGCAGTATCGGGGTTGGGAGAGAGAATTCAAGGGCTCAAAGAGCAGTGAACAGTAAAAGATGGCAACCGTCAGTCCCTGTCCTCCCTGTGTGCACGCTACTCTTCATATCAAGAGGAGACACCGAATTCCCCTCGTCGTGAATCTGGGCTAGCCTTGGTGCATTTGTTTTAACCAACTGAAATCTGGAGTTTCTGAGTATAACAAAAAGCTCTGCAGTTTTCTCTTCAGATGCTCCCTCTCAGGAGCCAGCTGCCACGCTTGAAGAAGCCCAAGCCACACGGAGAGGCCAGGTGTAGGCTCAGTCTCCGCTGAGCTCTAAGCAGAGAGTCAACAATAAATGCAACCCTAGGGAGTGAACTGTCCCGGACAACCAGGCCAGTTGGGCCTTCAGATGACTGTAGCCCCAGCCACCATCTGACTATAATCACGTGTGAGAAGTCCAAGTAAGGACCACTGGATGAGCTGAGCCAACACAAGGACTGTGAGAGATACTCATAAATTACTCAAAGCCACTTAAATTTAGGGGTGGTTTGTTATGTGTTCATGGATAGTCAGAACAAAGGGTAAGGTCTCTGACCTTATGGAAACAATATTTAGACAAATGCAACATAAGCATACCACACACATTCCCTCTCCCACACAGCTGTTCACGGGGAGTCCCTTTCCTGGAAGCTGTCCCTCCTCTGTGAAGATCTGGACCCACAAGTTCTTGAGCCCAGCCTCCTTCTTAGTCTTTAGGAGTTGGCCTGCCTGCGAGAGCCTCAGTGTACAAGTGGGAGCCCAGCCAGGGAAGATGGACCACATGCATTGGACCACAGCTCCCTGCCTTCCATTCCCTCCCACCTTCTGGCCATGCAGGTTCTCCAGGATGGAGTGAGGGTGTGGAACAGACTCTGGGAGCTGCAGGACTCAGACGAGAAGGAGGCAAACCAGGGGTGTAGCAGAGGAACCACGGGGGCCTTACAGGAAAGTTCTCATCCTAGAGAGGAAAAAAAAAATCCGTAGGTTATCCTAGCCCAGGAGTAGATTGAAGTCTGGGTCTAACACGGTTTCTCCACCTCAGCACTACTGACATTTTGGACTGGATAATTCTTTGTTGTGGGCTGTTCTATACATTGCAGAATGTTTAGCAGCATCTCTGGCCTCTACTTGCTAGATGCCAGTAGCACTCACCCCCGAGGCTGTGACAACCAAAAACATCTCTAGACATTGCCAAATGTTCTGGGGTGGGGAGAAATGGCAAAACTGCCCCTGGTTGAAAATGACTACCCCTCCTTCTTTCTCTGCTCTGAAGACCTTTCCTCTCAGATCTGAGAAAAACCTGTGATTTCCTGCGACAGCGGTCCTTCACCGTGCCAGGTGCATGACCTCATCTGTCTCCACCAGGCTCCCCTCTCCCCAGTGCTCCCCTGGCCAGATGGTACTCAAGCTCTCTGCAGGGCATTTCATCGACATGATGTAGCCCTGCAGGCTGAGTCCATTCCATAAACCCTGGCTGAGGAAGATACAGGCCAGATTAACGGGGAGCCCCTGGCAGCTGTTAGAGCACAATCAATAGGGGCCACTGAAATGTCACCCAAATAAAACTACAACAGGGAACCAGTTAACTCAGGTTTCCACACATGACTGCTGACAAAGCTGGTGAGACATAAGTTTGTTTGGTTACAATTAAACACTGGGTACTCCTGCCAGCCTATGTCTGCTAATATTTTTGTGGCAAGTACATGCAATTTACACAGTGTATACAAGGCCTCACCACTAACTTTGACACTGGCCCTCTGAGAGTTCCCTGTAACAAGCCAGCCTGTTGAAATTCTGAAATTGAAAAATTCACGATGCTGCATGTGCTCTTTCCTGGAGATGATTTATTAGAATGTCTTCATTTAAAGTTTAATATGCCTCTAAAAAAAACTGCTTAGTTCGGAAAATCTCATGCAATATGTGCATGAAATATAAATCTTTGTTTTCAACATAAAAAAGCATTTGATTTTATTATTTTCTCCATTCTTACTAAAGATTGAACAGACATGTAGAAAATAGTCGTGCAAAAAGGCCCCAATTATTCATCTGACACGTCCAGGTCTCAGTCTGACCTGGGTGTCGATCAGAGGTGAAGGGGCAGAAACTCAAGAGAAACTGCACTGGAAACCTTTTCTTTCCACTCCCATTTATTTCCATGTAAAATAAGATTAGTTGAATCCTCGAAGTTACTTTAATATGAAAATAAAGTAAAAACAAAACAAGAAACTGTCTGAAATATAAGTCAGGAGATGGAGAGGTGCAGAATCCTCCTCTATTTGACCTTGGGGTTTCGAGAAAGACTGGATGCTAATTGCATGTGTAAAAGCCTCAGATCTTTTCCAGTGCCACTCTTTAGATCCAATTCCTCCTGCTCCAATGACGACTTCCTTGATTCGCTGGGCAACTACGCTCTTCTGCACCCCAAGCAGGAAAGCACTCACCAGTTTGCTGATGCTGGAGAAGACTTCCTGCTGCATGTTTCCTATGTGCAGTCTCAAGACCACAAGTGTGTTACTCCTGGTCCTGCAAGAAGCAGAGGCCAAAATGGGATCAGACATGCAAAAATCCACTGGGAAAATGCCTTTTGGAAGAACAAAGGAGGAATCTTAGGAGGCAAGGAGAGCTGTCAGATCACAATGCTGGCCTGACTCTGGGGAGGAGAGAGGGAAGGGAGGGCGCTGGGTCGGCGGAGTCTCAGACTGAAGAACAGAGCTAGGGAAGTTTCAGGCAGGCTGATGGGAGTCCTGGAGCCAGTATCTTGCAGGAACGGTCCTGCTTTAGAATCCCTCTTGTGCTCAATCATTGTCTGCAATCAGCCCAAAGGAGGCAGAGCCTCAGAGTAGCCGGCACAGCGGATTAGGAGTACAGTATCTGGGGTTGTCTATCAATTACGGTCCCCGTGGCACAGCAGGAGTTCTGAGCGGTGCATTTTCAAGGCCACCACAGTTGTGGAAGCCTCAGTGCGGCAGAAGTCAATGGATAAATGGGAGAGATGAGGAAGGAAGAGGGGTACCAGCAGGTAAGGGAGGCCAAAGGCCAATGTGACCCTCTTCTGTCCGGGGACCAGCTTACACCTCAAATGAGCACTGGGGCTATTTCCAGGCTGCTGACTCTCGAGTCCCAGGCCAGCATCAAGTCTCATCAGGTCAGCTTGTGCCTGCTAGCCTGGGAAGCAAGCACCACTGACCACATTTTACCTAAAATAAAATGTAATTCAGGTTCCAAACAATCACTTTTCAACTGGAGTTGGGGGACGCAGACATGACAACACAGGGAGATTGTCAACAAGAAAGTATTTCCACTCTTATGATGGTATAGCCATAAGCAGAGATGATCCAGGAGTAGGGTAATATATCTACCTTGACACAACTGATACTGCTATGTGGGTAAGAAAATGCCATTAATTATTTTTTTCAGAAATATTGGTTGAGTGTCTTATGCATTGTCAGGAATTGTCCCAGAGGCTAGGACGATAGGTAAGACATATTTGGAGTTGTTCAAGAATGAAGAACTAAGAATATGCAGGGATAAGTCATAGGGAGATGGGTTTAGATTTGAAATAACAAAGAATATCTTATTCCCTATCAATAATTCTGTTATATATCACCTTCTACTGTGCTTCCCAGTCCTTCACTCCCACGTGGCTGTTGTGCCATGAATCACACTTTATTCTGATTAATTATTTATGGATTTATTTCCCCGTAAGAGTTGGCAAAACCCCCAAAGACTGGGAACATATGTGTTAGTTTGCTAATTAAATAAACAACTCATCGCTCATATATTTATTCAACAAAGGTTTTCCTGAGTGCTTTGTCTGTGCCTGCTGTTGGTATCTGGGGAGGCCAAGATGAGTAAGACACAACCCCTGTCCTCCAAGACCTCAAAGAAAATTAGGGGGAAAGATGAGGAGATGCCAGTACAGCCCCGAGTGGTGTGTGCCACAGTCAAGGTAATTACTGAGAAGAGTGGGAGCACCTACCTCTGCTGAGGGGGCAGCAGTGAGGGAATTCACCACGGAGCCGATGAGTCTTGAGCTGCGTTATGAAGGACAAGTAGAAGTTGTCCAGGGTCTTATCCCGGCTTCTAGCACACAAGTCCGCAGTCTGATCCTGCAAAATGAATGAATAAATGAAGATGAATAAGCAGAATGTAACTGAGGGCATTTTTTCCCGATCGGCATCTACTGCCCTTCATCCTGGTAACAGCATCTCACTCCTCACTCCAGAAATGGGCCCGTGACCCAGGCCTTGGCAATTAGCTAATGAACAGGTTCTGGCTAGTGAGTGGTTCAGGAGCGTGGACATGGTTGAACTTGGGCCATTGAGATTCATCTCAGGACTTGGTTGAGCAGCAGGAGGACAGAATCTCTCTGTCTGCTGACCCGGAGTTGTGAGGGTGTCAGCCTGGGGAATCTGGGGGCATCCTGGTTGAGAGAAATCTGCCTAGTTACATAGAGAAAGAAGGACTGAGAGGTGGAGAGAAAGAAATTGGGTCCTGATGACATTGTTTTAGCTCCTAGATCCAGAAATACAGTAAGTGGGTCTAGTCCTTATCTGTTCTTTGGGTGATCATTACATTTTCTGGAGTGGTAGGGTGGGGTTTAAGCCAGCCTGAGTCACCTTTTCTATTACTTACAACCAAACGTGCCTTGACTAATAGTGATAAATAGCTGTCTATAGTATAAATTGCTTCACAAAGTACTGAGTTCCCCGTTTCCAAAATGGTTCATGGAAGAATCAAGACAAATCTATCAGAAGAGGAAATGCTATATTACTGGGGAACCCTAAGCCCTTTTCAGCCTTGCTGATTGAGGCTAGAATTTTGCATCTGTTACCTGAAGCAGAGAGTTAATTTGACAGAAAGAAAGGCAGGAGTGGACACAGAGAATCTACACCATAATGTCAACCAGACTGCCTAGCAGACTTTCCATAAAGGCTTGATATTGTTTAGGCTAAAGTATCATTTCAGAATTACTATTTACTTTCTGCATTTTTGGTCAGTGACAAGATGGACCCAAATCAGAGACGACGGACACGCTAAAAAATTTGTTAAAAAGAATTAACAATAACAAAAACCAAAAACAAAAACAAAACAACACCACCACCAACAACAAAAGAATTAACAGTGTTCAGGTTGGTGGAGAGGAAGTGATGTGACCACTGAGACATGGCCGCTGAGAAAGATACTCTTGTTTTTCCTTTTTTCCCCTTGCATGCACCGTCTAAGGGAGGAATTATTATCAAAGTCTCAAGTCCTCCCAACTTCTCGACAAACATAAACATCCTCACCACAGTGCCAAGCTTGGCAGGGACCTGAAGAGAAAGTGTCTGCTGCTCCCACTCCCCGGGGTTTAAGTCAGGAGGCCAAGGAATCTGTGCAATGTGTCTGGGGCAGATGTCAAATGGGGCAAAGCCTAGAACCAGAGGAGATGCATTTTATGAAACAGAAACACAAATAAATAGCTGACACCAGAAGACAGACCGTCTCCTGACTGTTTAGAAACCACCGGACTCTGGTTCTATTCATAAAGATGACATGTTCCACAGATCAGTTTTCCCTGTTACCAATTGAGGCCAAAGCACCAACATACTCCAGGCGCGTGTGGGAAGGGGCTGAGATGTGGGTTCAGGGCTCCGACATCTTTAATGACTCACTCTGGCTCTGGGTCAGGACACATGCAGAGTGTTTCCGTATTTGTCTGCTCTCAGTAACTAGGGGAGACATAGATACATAGACTTGCCCTAGATTTCTAGCTCTTTTCACCTTCCTGCCAGTTTCATCTTTCTTCTTTCTTGCCTGTCTGCCTCCATCACCTGCTTTTCATTCCCTCTTAGCAGAAAGAACACTTTCAACTAGTAAAGAGGCATGGTTTCTGGTTCAGACCTTGCTAATAACTGGCTATTCAACATTAGGCATCTTATTTAATCTCTCTGGACCCCAGGTTCTTCATCTGCAAAATGGACTTAGGTAAGTGTTCACTCAATTCGTTAATTGAAAAATTCTAGTTGTGGCCAATACTTTGGTACCATCCTGCTATTTAGAAAGGTTGGGAACAAAAATTATCATTCTCAGGCTTCCTTGAAGCTAGGGTTCTACATTTGAATTACATTCTACCAATTCAATGTACTCTTGTGATATAGGAAAGACATATTCATTTCTTGTGCCATTCTGATGGATACGCTCTAAATGACCCCTCAAAGCCTAGTTCAACTCTGTGGGGTTTTATATTTTCTTTCCTGGCTATACCTTCTCTTAGGCAAAGAGCTTATTTTGATATCGTGGGTCCAGTCCATTTCTTCTCTTCTGAGTTGCGATAAAGCCCAAGAAATAGACCCTTGACAAGTCAGGGAAGGTAAATGCTGGCTAGAATCGTCTTGCTCTGTCTGAAGTTTCCGTCCTCTTTTACAGCTTATTTCTGGTTCAGCAGAACACAGTTCATCTTCCTGGGGTCTTGCAGCAATTCCAGAAAGAGAGATACTTGCTAAAAAGTTGGAATGGTAACCATGATGCCCTGTGGATCCTCTGGCAGCCATTATGAGGCTGGATTGTGCTGGGCACGCAGAAACGGTCCCCCTTTAACATCCCCTGTTGTTAATTTTAAAGGAATGATTATATTTTTCATAACATTCCAGAAGCATCTTAAGTGCTGCTCCAGTTAAAGAAGACAGCTCTGGGAGGACAGAGACCTAGCTCTGGCTCCCCAATGATGTGGTAAGCAACCTTGGTAAGGACAAATAACCACTCTGTCTTTTAGATTCTCTGGGTCTAAAATCAATGAAGCACCATTTTCCCTGGCTGCCAGTACCTTAGACAAATAGCAGGCTCTGTAGTGCAGTAAGTTTTAAAACTGAGCTTTAAAAAAAAAAGTGGGTGTCCGATACTACCAAGGTCAATCCTGACCTTGACTCCATGAAGGTTAAACACTGGAAGTTTGATTCACCAAGACAAGGGCTAAAGGGAACCTCTGGGTAGTTGGTCCTTTGGCAGAATCGTGATGTGGTTAAAACGTCTTTTTCCTCCTTCCAAATGAGAAAAAAAAAATCAGTTTTCCAAACTTCAGCACCAGAAGCCTCTCCCCACTTCCCTCTGCCCTCTAGAACAGTGCAGAGTTTCAGCTCTGCTCCCTTTCTCAGGGCAGGGGAAAGAAGTAAGCTCGTGTATCCTGGGGCTGTGGTTTGAACCCTGGCGGCTGAGCAGCCCTGGGTAGCTTCAGGGAGCACAGAGTCAGGGCCCCACAGCTAGAAACCCCACTCAGACAGTCTGGGATGGCGCCCAGGTGTGCCAACTATTCCAAAGCTCCCACAGGTGGAGAACCACCAGGGTGTTGCTACCTAAAAGCACCTCTTCAGAGAGAAGAGGTTCCAGGGATGAACTAATCTTGCCTCACGTCTATTCAAAATTTCCATAAAGCAGGCTATTGCCACTCACTTTTACTTGCAAACTTCAAGGTAGCTAAACGGGAATTGGGCTTGTGCCATAAATAGGCTCGTAGAATCTCGTATTCATGCCAGGGTTAGTTTAATACGGACCTTCTGTCTAGGAGCTGGTGCCCTGTTCTGGGAGTTCTGTGCCCATTCTGCCTCCTGGCTTCGTTGTGTTCAAGGATCCCTCCCTCGAATACGTGGCTTTCGTCCTCCGTCGGGGGTCCTGCTCCTCATCTAACACTCTAGTACTAACCTGATAGCATCAAATAATGACAAGCACAGGGGCTGTGAGTCAGATCTTGTTCAAGTCTTGACACCACCACTCTACAGCTCAGGCGACCTTGAAAAAGATATTCTGAGTCTTGGTTTCTTCATCTGTAGTGTAGGGAGAATATCACTTATTCTATCAGATTAGGGTTTGACATACAGTAAACACTCAACAATTGTGAGGTCCCTTCCCCCAAATTTCATTGTTTACCTATACTTCTTTCTACCTCTATTGTTTATGTGACCAGTAACCCCAAGGATTTTTAAAGGTAGGAATTGGGGTATCTACAGGAAGGTGTTTTAGGGATATAGTAAGACCTTCGTGTTACAGTTGAAATTATAGCCTGCTGGTCCCCACTAACTGCCTTAGATCCCACCATAAGAGATCCTACCAAGGCGCTGAGGACAGTGACATGATGGGGGAAACAAACCAATTGTAGTGAGAGGAGTGGTCTGAAAAAAGCCCTCTGACAGTCACATGTGGGAGGCTGAAAACTAAACCCAGAGAAGACCTGGAAAGGGCAAACCACCAGATGTCCGACTAGGAAGCAGAAATCCTGCCTAGAGTCTGTTTCAAACCACAGAATCTGAATTTTGGGAAGAAAGCATTAAAAACAATAAATTACTCCAAATGGCAAATTTAGGATTCAACTGCCTCAAACTGTAACAACTTAGGCACTTGTAGAAGAGAAATATTCCAGATGGCAACGTGGAAGGATGAATTACAGAGAAGGAAGTGGCTAATATCCTGTGCAAGACTTTGAAGCAGAGCAAAGAGGGAGCCTTCCTTAAAGGAGCCGACCAGAGGAGGCTGGTGTTTCTAAGACACAGAAACAGGGTGCCATTTCTACATGGTCAGCTGGCCACTGGCCAGCCCTGGGTGCTCAGGGCTCGAGTCTGATTTCAAATTGCCTTCTACCTTCCAAGAGATTATGGAGCAGATGGCTCTGGTGGATGCCCTCAGGAGGGCATCTGGAGTGACCGTTTAACACATACAGAACTTTGATTTGACCTGGTCCGTCTGGAGTGACTGCTTAATTCAGGGTTCCGTGGGCCGAGGTCGGGTGTCAAACTGTTCCTGGTCCCCTTTCGTCTTCTCTCTCTTTTTATAAGAGGTCACTTCAGCCCTGGAATCAAGGGGATTGAATCTGAACAGGTGAACTGAAGGAACCTGGCTGCATTCTGGTCAAAGGGACCTTAGTTCTGGCTTCTCCAAATGTTGCCCTTAGATGCACCATGTGATCTGACTGCATGACACCTCCATGTCACCTCGGAGATTACTGGAAATGCAGGACCCCAAATCTACCAAATCAGAACTTGCATTTGAACATGGTCCATAGGTGTTTTGTATGCATGCTAAGATTCGAGAAGCAATGGTCTAGTAGATTTTATAGGCAAAAAGAGGTATGTAGTCCCACAAAGATCCCCATATTCATCAGAAAGGACAGTTCCCACTGAGGTTAGTTAATATTTTCAACAATGAGTCTACAAGCTCCTAATAGTACTGCCAAGGCCTTGACCTCAATACTACTAATAAAAGCCTTTTCCATCTGATGTTAAGTCCTTAAACGAA